CTGCTGAAGGAGCTGCAGGCGATGAGGCCTGTCGCGGCCGGACCCTCTGGGCTGGGGAAGCCTCACCTCCTGCACCTTTGTGGGGCCGCCGGGGCTGCGGAGCTCTTCACCTCTGTCCTGACGACCCTCTTCTCCAGCAGGAACTGGGCCCAGCTCCAGCCCCTGTGCGAGTTCAGGCTGAAGCTTCTGCCCAAGTCTGGCGGCCGATGGCGCCCTATCGCAGTGCAGGAGACGCTTCTGGTCGCCTTCCACCGCTTGCTCCTGCGTCGGACTCCCGCGCTCCGCAAGCTCCCGGCGTGGCAGCTGGCCTTTGAGCACCTCGCCCAGATGAAGGCGATCCGCGCGGCCGAGGAGCTGAAGAGGACACACCACCTGCTCACGGTGGATGTGCGGAATGCCTTCAACAGCGTCCCGCATTCCGTCATCCTCTTTGCGCTCCGCCGGGCAGGGGTGGTCCAGCCGACCGTCGCGTACATTGAGTCGTTCCTCGCGGCTCGGCACTCCTCGGACCTCCCCGCGGTCCCAGCGGGCGTGCCACAGGGGGACCCGCTGTCCATGGCGATGTTCTGCCAGAGCCTTGTCTGGCCGGTGGAGACGTACCTCGGCCAGTACAAGGTCGTTGCATACGCCGACGACCTCGTCATTGCGTCAGAGGAGGCGATTCCCATAGATACCGTGAAGAGTGACGCGCAGTCTGCCCTCTCCCGCATAGGGCTCACGGTCGAGCTCTCGAAGTGCTCCTCGACCCAGGCCGGGGCGATCTCCTTCATGGGCACCCGCGTGCTCAAGCACTCCTCCTTCAACCTCGCGCAGACATCGGCCCGCCGGCTCCACGAGCATCTCGCCGTCCTCCGTGCTTCGGGTCTCTCACTCCACGACCGCCTCAGGCTCCTGTCTGCCTGCGTCGTCCCTGCAGTTAACTATGGACCCCTTGTTGACGACTACCCGGGCCCGTCCCCCTATGCCGACGTCGATGCGCAGATAGTGGAGGAGGTCGCGACCCTTCTGGAGATCCCCGAACCCCTTGCGAAGACCCTTGCTCTGACGCCCCGCGCGAAGTACGGCCTCGGACTGGTGCTGCCCCATCACTACTACGACGAGATGCACAGGCAGCGCCAGGACATGAAGGCGGGCGTCTTCCGCGAGCTGAGGAAGAAGCGCCTGCAGGACACGGCCGCGCTCCGATCCTTCCTGCCGCTCGCATTGCTGGGCTGCGCACCCCTGGACAACACGCAGGTCCTGTTCATAGGGGACTGCTTGGCGGGGAGGTACCAGCGGGGCCGGCCGATGGGCACGTGCTGCCACTGCAAGCAGCCCTTCCTTCCCAGGCACCATCTGGTGTGCAAGGCCATTAACGGGATTCACGTGGCGCGGCACGACAAGATTCTGGACGCCCTGCTCGCGTGCTCCCGCGGTCGCGCTGGGTCTGTTGTGCGCAATCCCACGATCCCAGTGGATCACCTCCAGCCTGACCTTGTCATCGGTGGGGGCTTCGGGGACTTGGTGGTCACTGTCCCGTGGAGGCTGGAGCGGTCCTATGCCCTGAAGGCCGCCAAGTATCGCCCCCTCGTGCTCCAGGGGCGGGCGGCCCACATCCTCCCCGTCGTGGTCGGTGCTGACGGCGTCCTGCACCACCTGTCTGCGGCCGGACTCGCGTTCGCCGGCGTGGACCTTGCGCGCTTCATGCAGGAGGCGGCGCAGGTCATCCTCTGGCACTACAGGCTGTCGGCCCTCCTGTACGCTGGGCTGCGAGTGGAGAGGCCGGTGCACCGCCCCGCCCCTGCAGTATCCCTGCCGGAACCGGCTCCCAACGAGGCTCGGGCTACTCCTCCTACTCCCCTCACCCCTGCCATGTGGAGCCCTGGCACGTCGCCCTCCGTAGAGATCATGGCCGATCTCAGCCAGCATCCTGATGCGGCAGTCCCTCCTCCCTGGGGTCCTGCTGAGGTCTCCTCCTCGATCACCTGGGGCACCGATCACCCCGCACAGCCGGATGCAAACGAACGCCCAGACCCCTTCATGTGCTCAAGGGCCCCCTCCCCGCCTCCACTGGATGACGACAGCCCCGACGATGCAGGAGCACCCGAGCCGGTGCACAAGGCCCTGCCGTCCTTCTTCAAGCGCGTCGGTCCTCCCAAGCCGCATGCCCCTGATGGCTTCTACCCCTTCAAACGCATCGACACGGGGCGCTAGTGGTCATGCTTGGGCACCCTGCCCGCTGTCGGCTGCCCCACAGCGCGAACGGACCCCTGGGCCTGCGTGCCGAGCTGTCTCCCCTGGTACTCCTCGCTCGCACCCGAGGCCTCTTGCCCCTATCATTCGGGTGTGCATCACGTCCAGACACGGTGCGATAGATGCCTAGCCGCGATGCCATACACACTCGACCAGGCCGGGCCAGGCCGGACGCCCCCCTGGATGGCCAGACACCCGCCCTGCCTACGTTTGGGCACTTCCTCGATGGGACTCGTCATCTGCCCACGCCGCAGCCCGGTGTTCGTCTGTCTGTCCTCCCGGGCAGCGGCGGTCCTTGGGTGCTGAGTCTGGCGAGCTGGTGCTGGGGGAAGAGGCTAGCCCCGTGTGTCATTCGTACCATCGCACCGCGCCGTGCTGATCCCCCCATGGAACTGCCCGCCAGTGGCCGCCTCCGGTCCGGGGCGGCACAGCCCTGGCTCGGGCCATCCTCTGCTGCAGCGCCCCGGTGCCCCCTGGAGAGGATGGCCGGGTGCTATGTGCTACTGAGCCCTCGGGTGCATCGCTTCCCCACTGCCCCCCCTCATGTACCCACTCTGGGCGCCCCGGTACAGGGAACCTGGTCACTCTGGCCCTGGCCTCCAGGTGCTTGCCCTCCAATGGGCCATCCCTCATGCGCCTGTGTTTGCCTGGCCCATTCTCCCCTGCTCCTCTCTACCTCTCCTGCTCGGTCTCCGCTGAGTCGCGGTGACGGCTGTTGACAGTCCCGGCCGGGCCCCCAGGTTTCGCTCCATACCTGGGCCACATGCCTCCCACCAGCGCTGGCACCACATGGGTTGCTTGTCACAGATGGGACTGGCACGCACAGAAGAATATGGCTCCACGGCGCTCTGCCGGTCTGTCCTGAGCTGGCGTCATCAGCCTGGACCCGCCCTTAGGGGGCCTCCTCCATCACCCGTGCCTCCCCACACCACCTCCTAAGCCGTCAGTCTGCTCTCTCAGGCGTGACCTTCTGTCGGCCTCCTGGGCCGTATGGGACCACCGCCCCGCTGCCCCCGCCATCTTGGCCAGACGCCTCCGGTGAGCCACCATTCTGGAATAGCACGACACGTGTGGATGGGCTAGCTATGGTGCACGGTCCGCACCCTCCCTTCTCACGGACTCCCGGGGACAGTCCGGACGCGTCTCCCTTGTCCCCCGAATCGGTGGCCCCGGCCGATCCCCATCGTGCATCCTTATATGGGGCACTGCACACACCTGTCCACGCTGTCCCCTTGGGCCGGCCACAGCTCACCCCGTGTGTCGATGGGCCAGAATTTGGGCTCCCCAAACCCCTCCACCCCCAAGCTGTTTCCTCGCCGGTTCTCTGGGCTCGCGCTTCCCTTTTTAGTGCAACAGCATTATGGTGCCTCGCGTATGTGCGCGGTGCAGTGGGCCGGTCTGTAGGCCTGCCTTTGACTGGAATCCTGGATCCCTGGGTTTCTGGCCCGACGCGTCGTCTTCTACCCCCCAAACAGGCCTGCACTCTTCTTGGTCCACGGGCTATTTGTCTCTTTGTTTCCGCGGCCCAGGGCCTGCTGGTTGCGCCGGGGCGACGCTCATGGTGGATTTTATTTTTTCCAAAATCCAGAATTTGGGCCTGAAGACCGCCCCCGCAGGGCCTGGAGGATGCGGGGAATCGGTCCACCCACACCATGCGCTCGAGCAAAGGCCAAGCACCCACGCCATCACGTCTCATCCAGGACTCCTGCGCCGCCACGGAGGAGGATCGGCACCTTCGCCATCGATCCTCCAGGATGCCCCCCTACCACTCCCCCTCACATGGCACGCCTCCCTCGGGCCTGTATGTCTGCATGCCGCTATGCCCTAACACCGCAGGCCGCCCTCTCCGCGGATCCACTAACACACAGCCTGCAGCGCCTGGCCCCCCTGGCCGTGACCCGCGCGCCCCCGCGCACAGGAGCATACCCCTGGAGCTGGGGAGAAGGCCCCCCTGGCCGCGCCCCCGCCGCGAGACCACGCGGGCACGGGGGCTGGGCGCCCCGGGCGGGCCCTTCCCCTCCGTCGTGAGGCTGCCTCCCCTCCAATGTCCTTACCGCCTTGCGCGCATATTACGTAGTAAACCGCCTCCGTCCTCGCTGAGCCCGCCGTGGGACGCCTGCGGTCCGGTGTAGCAGGCGCGCCGCCCCAGCCGAACTCCCCGCCCGGGCGGGTCCCCGCGCGACCGGGTGAGCGGGGCGGCGGCGGCCGTCAGGGTGTCTCAGGGGCGCGGCCTCCCCTGTGCGCTGCGCCGGCCGCCCCGCCCCACAGGCCCGGGCTGGAGTCAAGCTCAAAAGGGTCTTCTTGCCCCGCTGGCCGGCCCTCGCCCGTTCCCGAGGCTGGAGGCTCGCGGAGGCGCGGCTCGGGACAGTGGGATCCTCGTTGGTCCATTCATGCACGTCGGAAATTGCCCGACGAGGCATTTGGCTACCTTAAGAGAGTCATAGTTACTCCCGCCGTTTACCAGGGCTTCGGCGGATCGCTTCACGGTGACGGTCGTGGCACTGGGCAGAAATCACGTCGCGCCAGCGCCGGGTGCGGCCCTCGCGACGCTGTGTTTCTAGTAAACAGTCGGGATCCCCGCGTCCGTTCCAGTTCTGACCCGGCGCGCCGTCAGAGCCACTCCTTTTCCCGAGGTTACGGAGCCGGCTTGCCGACTTCCCTGAGCCGCGTTCGCTCCCGCGCTAGAGGCTGCTGACCCCGGAGTCCTGCTGCGTGGCGGGGCTGTGAGGTGTAAGGTCTGATGTGGAGGCGGTAGTTGTTTACTCTGGCTACTCTGAGAGGAGGGCCATCATCTTGCTATTGCCTCTCCTTTTGACTATCCCCAAGAGCTTCCTCCTGTTTACGTTCTTCTCCTTCTCTGCGAGGAGTCTCGCGCACTCTATCTGTCTGCAGGAGACTGCCCACATGAGGGCGGTCCATCCGTCACTATCCTGCATGCCCCCCTCCTTCTCCAAGAGCAGCGCGATGTGGGCAGAGTGACCTTCCTTTGCTGCAGCCATAAGAGCTGTCTGTCCATTGTTACTTTTCATACCTCCTTCCTTTTCTAGTAGGAGCTTAAAACAGTCTGTGCTACCATACCTTGCTGCAAGCATGAGGGCGGTCTTGCCATTGTCATCTCTCATACCTCCCTCCTTCTCTAGCAAAAGCGCAAGGCAGTCTGTATGGCCTTCCTCTGCTGCACTCATGAGGGCGGTCCGTCCAAAAATATCCTGCACGCCTCCCTCCTTCTTTACTAGTAGTCTAACACATTTTGAGTGGCCGTTCTGTGCTGCATACATAAGGGCTGTCTGTCCATCACTATCCTTCATGCGTCCCTCTTTTTCCAGGAGTACCTCCACTGCCCCTGCATGGCCTTCCTCTGCTGCACTCATGAGGGCTGTTGAACCATAACTTGTCTGCATCCCGCCCTCCTTCTCTAAGAGTAGCTTGACACATTCTGTGTGACCAGTTCTTGCAGCCCACACGAGAGCCGTACATCCATCACTATCCTTTACCCCCGCTTCCTGAAGGCTACTCCTAACTGCATCAGCATCCTCAATGCAAGCAGCATACATAAGACTTGTCCAGCTCAAGGAATTACGCTCACGGACGTTTCTCACCAGTAGCTTAATGCACTCTGGGTGGCCTTTCTCTGCTGCTATCATAAGGGCCGTCTTACCATTCCTATCTCTCATGCCCCCCTCCTTCTCCACAAGCATCTCCATTATCTCTGCGTAGCCATGTGCTACTGCCCTCATCAGCGCCGTTCCACCGTACATAGTCAGCTTGCCTATCTCGACATCCCCCGTCGCCTTCTGTCCCCCCTGGAGGGGAAGGAGGGCCTTCACAGTATCTACATCATTTCTGTCAACAGCTCGCATGAGGGCAGTGACGCCATTCTCATCTGTGGGGTCGAGGAGCTCCACGATGTCCTTGTGCCCCGCCCTCGCGGCTATGGTCAGCGCAGTCTCGCCGTCGCTGTTCTTCACGTCTCTCTCATGGAGGTGCCTCCTCGCCATGGTAACATTTCCAGTGAAGGCCGCGCACATGAGCGGGGTCCACGAGGGTGCCTCATGCTTGCGAAGAAGCAGAGCTATGCCTGTGTGCTTATTCATGAGGGCGTGCATGAAGGCTGTATTACCGTCCTTGTCCTTCATCCCCTTTTCACGACCAAGGAGGATCTTGGCCATTTCAAGATTTCTCTGCTGTGCGACGATCATCAGAGCTGTATGGCCATGTAAGTCTTGAAGCCCATGCTCGTGAGGGGTGAGGATCCTAGATGCCTCAGGGTGGCCGTTATGTGCGGCGTGCATGAGCGCGGTCCAGCCGTTTTTATCTTTGATACCCTTTTCCTTCTTAACAAGCAGCCTGACAGGACCAATGTGCCCCTGCTGGGCCGCGTGCATGAGGGCTGTCATCCCCTGCTCGTCGCGCTGGCCGGTGACTCCCTCTTCAATTAGCACCCGGACGGTCTCTGTGTCATTCGTGTATGCAGCTCGTATCAGTCTAGGCAGCGTGGAGAGGTTGCTCTGGGGGCTACTCGTGTTCATCCCACCACTAACTTCTGTGAATCTATTCTCTAGTGCCTTAATCATGGCTGAATACTCCTTGCACTGATCTTCAAGAGCGTCAATCCCGGTGGTCTTAAGTCGGGGCTCCTGTCCCAGGGCGTCGACCTCACTTGGTCTGCTCTCAAGAGCGCCCTTTAGAGAGGCAATCTCAGCAGACCTGGCGTCGAGGGCTGCCTCAAGAGCAGTGACCTTATCCGACTCGACCTTGAGCTCGTCCTTCAGAAGCACGATATTAGCATTAGCACTGTTCAAAGCAGCCTCCAAGGCGCTGCATTTGTCTTCTAGTGCCACATACCGATGCCCCAGCTCACCAATTGGGATGTCAGCCGCAGTGAGCATCTTGCACAGCTCCCTGGCCGTCGGCCTCCTCTCTGGCTCCAGCACGAATATCCTCTCCAGAACATTCTGCATGAAGCCATCAGTGACACCGCTCAGATCGGGCCTCCACCCATCGATGAAGACCTCTGCCGGCTCCTTGCCCCCCAAGAAGTCCGGCCTCCTCAGAGTTACTAGTTCATAAATGATGACCCCGAGGCTCCACACGTCGGAGGCGGGGCTGGCCTCATTACGGAGGAGCGCCTCGGGGGCCATGTATACTGCCGTGCCTGCAATGGTGCTCCCGCATCTCAGGGCGTCCTTGCAGAGGCCGAAGTCAGCAATGATGAAGCGCTCTCCGTCTGCGCTGATAAATATATTGGCAGGCCTGAGGTCGCGGTGGACGAGGCCTTTAGTGTTTGCCCCACTGAGGCCATGGAGGTAGGCGAGGGCGGCGGAGAGCTGTCTCAGAATGGAGAGGACCACGCCGGCAGACACGGGGATCTTCCTCCGCTTGCAGTCGATAAACACTTGCTCAAGGGTCTTGTCGTGGCGATTCATGACGATGTAAATGAAGCTTTCGTCTTCGACTACTTGATGGTGCCTGAGAACCCCTGGATGGGAGAGGTCGGGGAGGGTGGCCAGCTCAAGCTTGATAGCGTCCACGTTGCTCTTGCCCAGGCCGTCGAGGAGGATCTCCTTCACGGCGAGGTTTGGATAGCCCTCGAGGGAGTAGACTGTCCCCATGGTGCTTTCATTAAGCACGCTATCCAGCCACTCGTGGAGGTCCCTGATGGTGAACTGTGGGATGGCGGGGGCCGATGTTTGGGAGCTGGCTGCGTGGTCATCGCCGTCAGCCATGACAGTTTGTTTCCAAAAATAAGACCAAGCGATCGGATTGAACGAGTGATTGGGCCGCACCCTCAGAGGCTACGAGAGAGCGCAGGCCTCTGCCAGCCTCGCTTCTCGAGCTTGTGTCCATGACAGCAGACACGTCGTCCCGTACCTTGTGGAGCGCCCTTGCATGCCATGGCGTCCCTGTCTGTCCTGGCCACTCGTGACCATCGCGCATTACTAGTACTCTGCGCCAGCTCCCTCGACTGTGCAGTCATGGCCATTCCACGTGTGCACGGCCATCTAGCAGCACTCGCCCGCGTTCTCTGCCCTCCTCCGCCACTCATCCACGTGGGCCATGCAGGGTCTAGTGCCCTTTCAGCACTGGCCACGTCGGTGCTCTCTTCTGAGGCTGCATGCCCTACAGGATCACCCGTGCTCACTGCATTTTTAGAACCCATCACGCACCAGGGGCTCCCTCGCAATCGGTGCCCAGAAAGTCACGGGCAGGACTCTTCGGTGCGTTTACTACCGGGACACCAGCCCCCGCAGAGGAAGCCGACGAATACCCCACAGCAATGTACAGGAGTGCACCCCGAACAATCACTCCACAAGAGAGGTGCGATCTGAGTCTGGTCCTCACCGATCCTGTTCCTATGGAAGTCAGGGAAACTGCACTATCAACTGGCCTCCGGTGGGCGTGCTCCTATCTCGTTCTTCTCCGGTCCAACTGGTCAAGAGAGCAAGAGCGGCTGTCTCTCACTGCTCGCGGCCAATGCACCAGCCTGACGGAAGGGCAGTGGCACGTGTACTCCGGCTAATGTTGGTAGGATTTCTCCTAGTTTGTGCAACCGTGCTGGCCAAGTACAACGAGAAGGACACATGCTTCCCGGGCTACACCATCAACAATGACACGAAGCAGTGCACCAAGGACCCAGAAGCGCCGTGCAACACGCCCAACTGCAAGGCCTGCGATAACCCGAAGACCGACAACGAGGCCTGCACTGACTGCGACCCCGCCTACGTCCTGAACGGGGGCCAGTGCGTCGAGAGGAAGTGCAACACGCCCAACTGCAAGGCCTGCGATAACCCGAAGACCGACAACGAGGCCTGCACTGACTGCGACCCCGCCTACGTCCTGAACGGGGGCCAGTGCGTCGAGAGGAAGTGCAACACGCCCAACTGCAAGGCCTGCGATAACCCGAAGACCGACAACGAGGCCTGCACGGCGTGCGACCCCGCCTACGTCCTGAACGGGGGCCAGTGCGTCGAGAAGGCGTGCAACACGCCCAACTGCAAGGCCTGCGATAACCCGAAGACCGACAACGAGGCCTGCACTGACTGCGACCCCGCCTACGTCCTGAACGGGGGCCAGTGCGTCGAGAGGAAGTGCAACACGCCCAACTGCAAGGCCTGCGATAACCCGAAGACCGACAACGAGGCCTGCACGGCGTGCGACCCCGCCTACGTCCTGAACGGGGGCCAGTGCGTCGAGAAGGCGTGCAACACGCCCAACTGCAAGGCCTGCGATAACCCGAAGACCGACAACGAGGCCTGCACTGACTGCGACCCCGCCTACGTCCTGAACGGGGGCCAGTGCGTCGAGAGGAAGTGCAACACGCCCAACTGCAAGGCCTGCGATAACCCGAAGACCGACAACGAGGCCTGCACTGACTGCGACCCCGCCTACGTCCTGAACGGGGGCCAGTGCGTCGAGAGGAAGTGCAACACGCCCAACTGCAAGGCCTGCGATAACCCGAAGACCGACAACGAGGCCTGCACTGACTGCGACCCCGCCTACGTCCTGAACGGGGGCCAGTGCGTCGAGAGGAAGTGCAACACGCCCAACTGCAAGGCCTGCGATAACCCGAAGACCGACAACGAGGCCTGCACGGCGTGCGACCCCGCCTACGTCCTGAACGGGGGCCAGTGCGTCGAGAAGGCGTGCAACACGCCCAACTGCAAGGCCTGCGATAACCCGAAGACCGACAACGAGGCCTGCACTGACTGCGACCCCGCCTACGTCCTGAACGGGGGCCAGTGCGTCGAGAGGAAGTGCAACACGCCCAACTGCAAGGCCTGCGATAACCCGAAGACCGACAACGAGGCCTGCACGGCGTGCGACCCCGCCTACGTCCTGAACGGGGGCCAGTGCGTCGAGAAGGCGTGCAACACGCCCAACTGCAAGGCCTGCGATAACCCGAAGACCGACAACGAGGCCTGCACTGACTGCGACCCCGCCTACGTCCTGAACGGGGGCCAGTGCGTCGAGAGGAAGTGCAACACGCCCAACTGCAAGGCCTGCGATAACCCGAAGACCGACAACGAGGCCTGCACTGACTGCGACCCCGCCTACGTCCTGAACGGGGGCCAGTGCGTCGAGAGGAAGTGCAACACGCCCAACTGCAAGGCCTGCGATAACCCGAAGACCGACAACGAGGCCTGCACGGCGTGCGACCCCGCCTACGTCCTGAACGGGGGCCAGTGCGTCGAGAAGGCGTGCAACACGCCCAACTGCAAGGCCTGCGATAACCCGAAGACCGACAACGAGGCCTGCACTGAATGTAATGATAACAATTATCTCACTCCAACAAACCAATGCGTACCTGACTGCACAGCCATCAGCGGATACTACGGAGATAATGACAAGAAGTGTAAGGCATGCAGCCCTGAGTGTGCTGAGTGCGTTGGGCCGGCCAACAATCAGTGCAGTGCCTGTCCTGCTGGCAAGAAACTGACATATACAGATGACAGCCATCCTAATAACGGAGGCGCCTGCGGGGATGCGTGCAAAGTGTCTGCAGATGGCACTGGCTGTGAGACATGTGGGGCCCAAATAGGAGGAACTGCATACTGCTCAAAGTGCAAGACCTCTACTCAGGCCCCCTTGAACGGCAACTGTGCGGCCAATTCACGAGCAGCCTTCTGTGCAACAATCACAAATGGGGCCTGTACACAATGCAATGAGGGTTACTTCCTCAAGGACGGCGGCTGCTATCAGACAGATAGACAGCCTGGTAAGCAGGTCTGTAGTAGTGCACAGGGAGGAACATGTCAGACATGTGCCAACGGACTACAGGCACAAGGTGGGGCCTGTGGGGAGTGCCATTCTACTTGTGCTACGTGCTCGACTGCAGATGCGGCTGATAAGTGTAAGACTTGTGCCACTGGGTATTACAAGGAAAACGGTGACGATACCACTGATGGGTTATGCAAGAAGTGCTCAGAGAAGATCTCTGGATGCAAGCAATGTGTGTCGTCATCTGGCAGTTCAGTCATATGCTTAGAATCAGAAGCAGGCACTGGTGGAAGCGTCAACAAGAGCGGCCTCAGCACGGGGGCCATAGCCGGTATCTCCGTCGCTGTGATTGTTGTTGTAGGGGGTCTTGTGGGCTTCCTCTGCTGGTGGTTCCTCTGCCGCGGAAAGGCATAGATTTAGATATGACTTAGGTAGTAAACGCATCCACTACGTGTGGCCTGTGATACTCAGCCCACCGTGCAGGGAAACAGAAAGTCCATGAATAGGCACGGGACCACCCACGTGCCTGCAGCCTCTCGCTAGTCCCTCTTCCGGTGTCTCTACATCCTCGGAGAGCTGGGCCTTGTGCCTTCCCTGTGCGGATCGACCCCTTGTGGACCCCCGTGTGCCAGTGCTCTCTCTGTCCCTGTGGCGTCCCCCCAGACGACCCCTGCTGGCCCGGTTGCCTGACGGATAGCACCCGAAAGCGGATCCTCGCAGTCTCTGGAGGAGATACCGAGTCCATAGAAGATGTGGATCAGCAGAGACTGGCTCACGGGGCGCTCTGATCTGGTGTGTGTATAGCCCTGATCTCTTGTACTAAGTGCCACTAAGGTTCTTCATTGCGTGACAGAGTGCTAAGTGGAACTCAGAGACGGGTCAGTCCTCCCGTGCCTAGCCAAGGGGGAGCACTGCCCAGACCGCGCTGTCTCCCGAGCTGATGGAGAGGACCCCATCACTCCCTGAGTCACTCTGGTGCCACCGCTCTATCATCGGAAGCACCCGGGCCCGGGGTACCTTGGCCTGTTGGTGTGAGTGACACAGGGCTCTCTGTGTTAGGCTGCCTTCATGAGAGACGAGATCCAGGGAGACTGTGCTGGTTTGATAGCCAGTGACCAGACCCATGATCAGCGTGGCCTCGTGTGGGTACCAGGGTAGCTGGGCGCCCATCCGCTGATAAGGGCATCGAGCAACATCTAATCGCTGCCTTCGGGCCAACCGGTGCGAGCGTCTACCTCTTGATCCGTGCACCATGTCGCCTGGCAGAGGGCGTGGTATGGCTCTATACGCCTCTCTGTGATGCCGCTGCGAGAAGTGGGCCCCGGTGTGTGGCTCAGAAGCCGGATAGTCTCTGAGGACGCCATATCCTTGTGATCTCCGTGTGGCCCCGCTAGAAGGGCTCGATGTTCGCAGGCCAGTGCAGGAAGCGAAAGTCCAGCAGCACGCATCTTGAGGGGAGTGCCACAGACATGCATCGGGCACGATCCTACCAATGATCCTGCAGGAGGCCGGCCTGGGCCTCAGTGGCTGGCGAATCTCAATAGGAAAGCGGCTGCTGTGAAGGACATCTACCAATGCTCATTGCTGCGGGCTGGATGACCCTTGCTCGCATGTGGGACTGTCCGGCGTGCAATGTAGCCCATCGATGAGAGTGATGTCGCTCATCTGGACCGAGTGGGGGGCTCTACAGTCGACCGGTTATTCTAAGAAGTCCTGCACCGGTGAGCCCGCAATTACGGCCTGCATTCGACAGGTAAGGGTTCCATTGGGCTGCGGTGTTCCCCACAGGTCCCCGGGATGTGTGGCTACCTCGCGCAGTCTCCAAGAGGGTAGCCCTGCCTGGCTGAGGCATGCAGGCCCGATCATGGTACAGCGCCCTTCTGAGTCTCTGGAGCCAAGCACACCTCAGGCAACGAGGACAAGCGGAGACCCAGAGGCGCTAGCTGGGCTGCTCCGATCCCTGCTGTCCGGGGAATCAGCAGGGCCGCAGGATGGCAGGGCCCCATTTCGTGCCCCAGGATGCCGTGGCTTGGCGGAGGTACGCGCCACGGTCACTGTTAGCTACCCGTTGGCGAGGTACTGCTGTGCTTGAAGACCTCCCGGAACGACCCTTCTCAGCTTGTTGGCCATGAGCTGGGCCCTCGTGCCAGCTGATCGGATGAGAAGCAACAATAGCATTATCCAGGCCAGAAGCCGAGAAGGCTGCTATTGATTGTGCATCTCCTACGTCGAGCACACTCACTGCGTAGGGCAAAGAACCCGACGCTCTAGGTGACCCATTGGGCCAGAGTGCTTGGCAGTAACGACATGCGCGTGGACTCCAGCGGCGGGGAGAGCCAGACGGGGCTTGCGAGGGAGTGGTGAGGAGCACAAGACCTGGTGGATTATGCAAGGCGCACAGAGGACCCCCATGCAGTAACCGATTGACCCTTTTCCTTGGTAGACGGGACGGCCTGTGGTGGCCGCCTGCACGATGCATACCTTTACGGGACCGTAGAGGCATCCGCATGCTGACCTGGGAAGGCTATCAGCAGTGGTTGCACGAGGTAGGCAAGCAGAGAACAAGGGCGAGCCATGCTACCCTGGGTGATGAGTAATCCAACCTACGCAATGCGTGTACCAACCCTTTGGCCGAAGATGGAGGTAACCATCCGCGTAGCACTGCAGATCTAGCCGCGTCGACTGATACTGGCCTGCACAGTATACCTCTCCAATCCAATCGACCCCCGCCCTATACGGGGAAAGCGAACATCCTCGCCTCTCGATAGAACAGCCCCCAACAAATGTGCTGCTGTAAACGCATAAAATCAAAATGCGGTCTTCGGCCTGTCGGTAGATAGACCCTTCCACACTCGCGGGCCAGAGAGGCACACAGGTGCCCCCGCTGCAATCCAGACCGGCAGCCAGCCTCTCCAGTCCCAGTCGTACCTCACTGATCTGCTGGTCACCCCTACGCTCTCCATGCGAATCGGTCCTCCAGAAATGGCCGTCTACAGGTGGCCCTCTGCACGTCTACCTAGCATTCTCCCGCACCGAAGCATGTCGCCAAGGACTAGGTGTTATGGGGCGAGCGCGGCCAGAGACGAGCTTTCTCGCAGGCCCGTCTGCCACTAGCGGTGAGCATCCAAACGTATGCACAGGCCTTTGACGGGTGCATTGTGATCTAGGCCGGTCAGCACACTAGGCTCGTGACACCTGGTGCACGGGTTTCTGTTTTTAGCTTTAGGTGCAGACGTCTCATCTTGAAAGGCAATGGGGCGCTCTGCAGGACCTTCCGGGTATACAGCTATCGCTACAGCTGATGGAGAAGCAGGCATAATGACTGTGTGGATACGTAGAAGCGTCTCTGGTGCCATTCTCCGCTGATAACAGGTAGCTCAGGCAGTACGATGTCCACTTTACCATTGGACGTCATGCGGGATGCAACGTCAAATAGGGTCGATGCAGTGCATGTTCAGTCTGTTGAGCAGGCACAGCCTAAATGCAACAAGCACGGTGATGAAGGCATCCATCAGTGCAGGGTAATGGAACATGTGGCTCGGTGCAGCGCTCTGTAGTTAGACACCTCGGTCCTCTGAGACGAGCATAGCACAATGTCCACACATGCAATTCCTCTTTCATGCTGCTTACTCCCATGAGCAGTTGTGAGATATCATACACCAGAGAGCGGGGCAGAGGGTCATCAGACTATTGGACCAGTAGGCTGGACTGACAAGGGCAGCTGGCCATGCGTGCAGAAGCTTTGTCCTGGGGGCGGCGGGTGCAACGGCTGACTCAAGTTTTTTAGTGTGTGCCGCTGGGCCCTCGCCTGCGGGCGCTGTCCGCAAATCTCGCGAGTAAATTCCCGCTCAATTTTTGGCGATGTCCGGAGACGAGGGTTGGTCACGGGCCGTAACGATAATCACATCGGTTGTAGGGAGAAGCTATTGCGTTCCTCGGCTATTCTACAGGAGTACACTCAGACTGGGTGTGCACATCGGTCCTTTTGGAGATCACGCCGTCCTGCAGGCTCGCTGGTCTACTAGGGTGCCTCTCCTTGTTCTCCCTTTACGGTTGGTGAAGCTCTGGTCTTTGTTGTCATTCTCAATGCTGTCCATACAGATCGGCAGCAGCTAGCGGGCTTTCTCTTCTGGTTGGGATTCAACTCGATTGTGTGTCCAGTCTTTGCCCCTTCTCGGTCGTTGTCGTCGGGTCCCAGGGATGGACTCATTCGGTTGTCAGAAGTAGGATGACAGGAGGCGGGGTGACCAGGCTTTCGGCCCGGCCCGTCTGATCAGCCCCGTCAGGTCCTCGTTCGCCTCTGCAGCCATGTAGGCGATGGCGAAGGCAGCCCGGACAGAGGTCCACGTGGAGCTCCTTGAGGTGCCCCTTGGACTGGGGTGGAGGGATCCGTCCGTCCCGTAGATGATCGGGAGCGTCCCGTCCCTGTACTTCTTGGCCTTCTCGCTGTGGTATCCATCTGGCGGGGCTGGATGACACCCACGTCCACTGCCTTGCACTTGTCGACGAGCCAGATGTCGGGCTTCTGGTTCTGGTCGCTGAGGTGGCTGTGGGTCTTGACTTCCAGCTCTGCGCTGAGCTTCCCCGAGACGCGGAGGTACAGGCACGCGACGATCATGTCGTGCCTCGTGGCAGCCCGGGCAGGTGCCTCTTTCTGCGCCATGATCGAGCCGCCCTTCTCCTTCAGGGCCCTTTCCTCCTCGGTCAGCACGCCGCACATCTGCAGACAGTACGTCGCCGCTCTGTCCGGAAGCTGGTGTGTGCGCGTGAGGAGGCGGTTGAAGTAGGCCCCTTCCCCTGCAGTGCCTGGCCGCCCACCGACAGCTCCACCGGGTCTCTGGCCCCCTTGTTGACGTCCAAGGAGGCCCATACCCTCCGCAGCTCGTCGTGGTAGAATCCAGGCATGAGCAGGTCCAGGCCGCCCTTCTCCTTCGGGTACGCTAGGAAGTCGACCAGGCGATCGCAGCTTCTGTTGGTTAGTGCTGATGCCTTGTGCGACGTCTGTCGAACTCCTCGTAGTCCGCCTTGTCCGATGTTACTTCGACCAGGGGGGCGTAGCTCACCATCGGGACCACACAGAGTGACACCAGGATGAGCTTCTGGTGGATGGTTATTGGGGCATTCTCGATCTTCTTCAAGGCAGTCTCGGCACCTGCGATGGCCTTTGGGGCGAGACTAGCAGGAGTGGGGGACGCCGGGTGGTTGAGGAAGGTCACCTCCTCGCCCGCCATGGTGGACTTGCATTTGTCGCTCCTGATCGTCAGGTCCATGGTCTGCTGTGTTATCACACCTGCTGGGTACCCTTCGTCGTGGAACCCCACGATGTCGTCTGCATAGGCAAGGAAGGCGATGCCCCTCTCCTCGAGGCGTCTCAGGAGGCGCTCGGTGGCCATGCAGAAGAGGAACGTGCTGAG